ACACAGGGCTGTAACATACACACACACAGGACTGTGACACACACACAGGACTATAACACACACACACAGGACTGTGACACACACACAGGACTGTGACACACACAGCATTGTGACACACACACAGGACTGTGACACACACACAGAGCTGTGACACATACACAGGGCTATAACACACACACACAGGACTGTGACACACACACAGCATTGTGACACACACAGCATTGTGACACACACACAGGACTATAACACACACACAGGACTGTGACACACACACAGGACTGTGACACACACACAGGACTGTGACACACACACACAGGACTGTGACACACACACAGCATTGTAACACACACACAGGACTGTGACACACACACAGGACTGTGACACACACACAGGACTGTGACACACACACAGCATTGTGACACACACACAGGACTGTGACACACACACAGGACTGTGACACACACACAGCATTGTAACACACACACAGGACTGTGACACACACACACAGGACTGTGACACACACACAGGACTGTGACACACACACAGGACTATAACACACACACAGGACTGTGACACACACACACAAGACCGTGACACACACACAGCATTGTGACACACACACAGGACTGTGACACACACACACAGAACTGTGACACACACACACATGACTGTGACACACACACAGCATTGTGACACACACACAGGACTGTGACACACACACAGGACTGTGACACACACACAGGACTGTGACACACACACACAGGACTGTGACACACACACAGGGCTGTAACACACACACAGGACTATAACACACACACACACAGGACTGTGACACACACACACAAGACCGTGACACACACACAGCATTGTGACACACACACAGGACTGTGACACACACACACAGAACTGTGACACACACACACATGACTGTGACACACACACAGCATTGTGACACACACACAGGACTGTGACACACACACACAGGACTGTGACACACACACAGAGCTGTGACACACACACACAGCATTGTGACACACACAGGACTGTGACACACACACAGGACTGTGACACACACACACAGGACTGTGACACACACACAGGACTGTGACACACACACAGGGCTGTGACACACACAGGACTGTGACACACACACAGGACTGTGACACACACACAGGACTGTGACACACACAGGACTATGACACACACACAGGACTGTGACACACACACAGGACTGTGACACACACACACACAGGGCTGTGACACACACACACAGGGCTGTAACACACACAGAGCTGTGACACACACACAGGACTGTGATACACACACACACAGGGCTGTAACATACACACACACAGGACTGTGACACACACACACAGGACTATAACACACACACACAGGACTGTGACACACACACACAGGACTGTGACACACACACAGGATTGTGACACACACACAGGACTGTGACACACACACACAGGACTGTGACACACACACACAGGGCTGTGACACACACACAGAGCTGTGACACACACACAGGGCTGTGACACACACAGGACTGTGACACACACACAGGACTGTGACACACACACACAGGGCTGTGACACACACACAGGACTGTGACACACACACAGGACTGTGACACACACAGGGCTGTGACACACACACAGCATTGTGACACACATACACAGGACTGTGACACACACACAGGACTGTGACACACACACACAGGACTGTGACACACACACACACGACTGTGACACACACACAGGACTGTGACACACACAGGAATGTGACACACACACACAGGACTGTGACACACACACACAGGACTGTGACACACACACAGGACTGTGACACACACACAGGACTGTGACACACACACATAGGACTGTGACACACACACACAGCATTGTAACACACACACAGGGCTGTAACACACACACAGGGCTGTAACACACACACAAGACTGTGACACACACACAGGACTGTTACACACACACAAGGCTGTGACACACACACAGGACTGTGACACACACACACAAGAATGTGACACTGTTACACACGCACGCAGACACGTGACGATAAGCCCACTTCGTGGAGCTGAAATATAATTTGTGATAGCCAGGGGGGAGGGGGTGGGGGCTTACCTAGTAACAAATAAATAAAAAGGTGTTAAGTAAAGAAATAAAGTTATTTTATATTCGTTTTGTTTCCGATTGACATTTAAATGCGACGTCGCTGTCGAAGGCCACGAGGAGGACGCAGAGCTGCCGCGTGTTCATATTCACTGGGTCCACAGGTAGGACACTGGTGGGACACAGGTGGTACACTGGTGGGACACTGGTGGGACACAGGTGAGACACTGGTGGGACACAGGTGGGACACTGGTGGGACACTGGTGGGACACTGGTGGGACACAGGTGGGTCACTGGTGGGACACTGGTGGGACACCGGTGGGACACAGGTGGGACACTGGTGGGACACAGGTGGTACACTGGTGGGACACTGGTGGGACACCGGTGGGACACAGGTGAGACACTGGTGGGACACAGGTGGGACACAGGTGGGACACCGGTGGGACACTGGTGGTACACTGGTGGGACACAGGTGGGACACTGGTGGTACACTGGTGGTACACCGGTGGGACACCGGTGGGACACAGGTGGGACACAGGTGGTACACTGGTGGGACACTGGTGGTACACTGGTGGTACACAGGTGGGACACAGGTGGGACACAGGTGGTACACTGGTGGGACACAGGTGGGACACAGGTGGGACACTGGTGGGACACTGGTGGGACACTGGTGGGACACAGGTGGGACACTGGTGGGACACAGGTGGGACACAGGTGGTACACTGGTGGGACACTGGTGGGACACAGGTGGTACACTGGTGGGACACAGGTGGGACACAGGTGGTACACAGGTGGTACACTGGTGGAACACAGGTGGTACACGGGTGGTACACTGGTGGAACACAGGTGGGACACTGGTGGTACACAGGTAGGACACAGGTGAGACACTGGTGGGACACTGGTGAAGGACACTGGTGGTACACTGGTGGGACACTGGTGGGACACAGGTGGTACACCCGTGGGACACAGGTGGTACACTGGTGGTACACTGGTGGGACACTGGTGGGACACTGGGGGTACACTGGTGGGACACTGGTGGGACACTGGTGGTACACAGGTGGGACACTGGTGGTACACTGGTGGGACACAGGTGGTACACAGGTCCTGAGCCTCTACCCCTCCGCCCCCCCCTCCCCCCCCCCAGGTTGACTCAGCCTTAAACGAGTGCCTGGTGCAATGAGTTAAAAACAATAAAACAATATCACTAAGGGAGACAAAGGCAGCCGGCCGTGGTGTTCCGACCACCCGACCAGCCTCGTGTTCCGTACCTTGTAGCCTTCAACAGCAACGTGACCCCAACGGCAGTCGAAGGCGATACGGGAAACATCGTTTTTGTTGTAAACTGCACTAAAGTTTGTGTGTGTGTGTGTTATATACAGCGACTCCACTACTTATGAACCAGTTAGGTTCCAGCGATGTCTGTTCGTAAGTCGATTCGTTCGTAAGTCCAACTTTACTCTCTGTCGATTCCAAACATGTTGTATGGCGTAGACACTAAACACGTGGAAGGGCGTTAAAAGTTGGAGCATCTTTTTTTTAGATGTAGATACCACTGGTTCTTCACGTTCTGCAGATGTAGATGCCACTGGTTCTTCACGTTCTACAGATGTAGATGCTACTGGTTCTTCACCTTCTACAGATGTAGATGCCACTGGTTCTTCACGTTCTGCTGATGTAGATGCCACTGGTTCTTCACGTTCTGCAGATGTAGATGCCACTGGTTCTTCACGTTCTGCAGATGTAGATGCCACTGGTTTTTCACGTTGTGTAGATGCCACTGGTTATTCACGTTCTGCAGATGTAGATGCCACTGGTTCTTCACGTTCTGCAGATCTAGATGCCACTGGCTCTTCACGTTCTACAGATGTATTTGCCACTGGTTCTTCAAATTCTACAGATGTAGATGCCACTGGTTATTCATGTTCTACAGATGTAGATGCCACTGGTTCTTCATGTTTCGCAGATGTAGATGCCACTGGTTCTTCATGTTCTGCAGATGTAGATGCTACTCATTCTTCATGTTCTGCAGATGTAGATGCCACTGGTTATTTACGTTCTACACATGTAGATGCCACTGTTTCTTTACGTTCTGCAGATGTAGATGCCACTGGTTCATCATGTTCTGTAGATGCCACTGGTTATTTACGGTCTACAGATGTAGATGCCACTGTTTCTTCACGTTCTGCAGATGTAGATGCCACTGGTTCATCATGTTCTGTAGATGCCACTGGTTCTTTACGTTTTACAGATGTAGATGCCACTGGTTCTTCACGTTCTGTAGATGTAGATACCATTGGTTCTTCACGTTCTGTAAATGTAGATGCCACTGGTTCTTCATGTTCTGTAGATGTAGATGCCACTGGTTCTTCACGGTCTGCAGATGTAGATGCCACTGGTTCTTCACGTTCTGTAGATGCCACTGCTTCTTCACGTTCTACAGATGTAGATGCCACTGGTTCTTCACGTTCTGTAGATGCCACTGGTTCTTCATGTTCTGCAGATGTAGATGCCACTGGTTCTTCACGTTCTGTAGATGTAGATGCCACTGATTATTCACGTTCTACAGATGTAGATGCCACTGGTTCTTCACGTTCTGTAGATGCCACTGGTTCTTCACGTTCTACAAATGTTAATGTCACCCCCGCCATCCGTTGCACGGCGGTTGGACTTACGACTCTCGATCTGAACATGCAACTGGACATACGGGGACAGGTTTGTTCGTATCTTTGAAAGTTCGTAAGTCGAATGTTCGTAAGTAAAGGAGTCTGCGTACTTCATTGACGTGTGCCGGGGAGAGGGGTGGGGAGCGATGCGCGTGCGTTAATTGAACGATGTTAATTAATAGCTCGGGATGAGCGCGCTTACCATTCACGTGGGAGGTCTTTGTGGCGTCACGGGAGGCGGTGATTATGGAGTTGATGATTACGCAGCCGCCGGCTCTCATGTGGCCTGATGAGCAGAGAGAGAGTGACACACACCACACACATCATTACACTGGCACACACACCACACACATTACACTGGCACACACACCACACACATCATTACACTGGCACACACACCACACACATTACACTGGCACACACTACACACATCATTACACTGGCACACAAACACAACACACACACCATTACACTGGCACACACACCACACACATCATTACACTGGCACACAAACACCACACACCATGACACTGGCACACACACTACACACATCATTACACTGGCACACACACCACACACATCATTACACTGGCACGCACCACACACATCATTACACTGGCACACAAACACTACACACATCATTACACTGGCACACACACCACACACATCATTACACTGGCACACACACACCACACACACATCATTACACTGGCACACAAACACCACACACATCATTACACTGGCACGCACCACACACATCATTACACTGGCACACACACCACACATCATTACACTGGCACACACACCACACATCATTACACTGGCACACAAACACAACACACACACCATCACACTTGCACACACACCACACACATCATTACACTGGCACACACACCACACATCATTACACTGGCATACAAACACAACACACATCATTACACTGGTCCACACACACCACACACATCATTACACTGGCACACAAACACAACACACATCATTACACTGGTCCACACACCACACACATCATTACACTGGCACACACACAACACACACATTACACTGGTCCACACACACCACACACATCATTACACTGGCACACACCACACACACACACCACACACACTCACACACACCCCACACACACCACACACACACCACACACACACCACACACACACACCCGCACCAGATCCTCGTGTTGAGGCTGAGTCGACCTAGGGGGAGACCCGTGGTCCCGCTTGCAGATATAACCACCATATAGCCACCTGTGTTGGCCGTGAGCGGGCATTGAAACTCGGTGCTTAACCGCTGCGGCAACGCGTCCTGACCGGGTCACCGCGTCCTGACCCGGTCACCAGGTCCTGACCGGGTCACCAGGTCCTTACCAGGTCACCAGGTCCTGACCGGGTCACCAGGTCCCGACCTGGTCACCAGGTCCTGACCGGGTCACCAGGTCCTGACCAGGTCACCAGGTCCTGACCAGGTCACTGCGTCCTGACCGGGTCACCAGGTCCTGACCGGGTCACCAGGTCCCGACCGGGTCACCAGGTCCTGACCGGGTCACCAGGTCCCGACCGGGTCACCAGGTCCTGACCGGGTCACCAGGTCCTGACCGGGTCACCGCGTCCTCACCAGGTCACCAGGTCCTGACCGGGTCACCAGGTCCTGACCAGGTCACCACGTCCTGACCCGGTCACCAGGTCCTGACCGGGTCACCAGGTCCTGACCGAGTCACCAGGTCCTGACCGGGTCACCGCGTCACCGACTGGATCACCGCATCCTCACCAGATCACCAGGTCCTGACCGGGTCACCGCGTCCTGACCGGGTCACCGCGGTCCGTCCCATGCTCGCCGTGAGAGCTGCCTTGGCTTCGGCGGCGTTGCCACGGCAGAAGAGGCCCTCAGCCTTGCACGGGGGCCTTGCGCCCCTTATTGATTCTTAGTCGTTCAACAGGTACAATGTTAATGGCTACATCGAGGGGTTGATGAAACAACGTGAGTCGTTACTTACGGTGCTCCCATGCGTAATTTGTCTTGTCGATTATTTACCTTCTTTAAAAAAAAGAAATTTGGCCGTGTCTCGCTAGCCCCCCGGGGTGCGTGATGCACCCCAGGTTATGAACCATTCGTGTAGTGTATAGTGTAGTGTATAGTGTAGTGTATAGTGTAGTGTATAGTAGTGTATAGTGTAGTGTATAGTAGTGTATAGTGTAGTGTATAGTGTAGTGTATAGTGTATAGTGTAGTGTATACTAGTGTAGTGTATAGTGTAGTGTATAGTATAGTGTAGTGTATAGTGTAGTGTATAGTGTAGTGTATAGTGTAGTGTATAGTGTGTAGTGTAGTGTATAGTGTAGTGTATAGTAGTGTATAGTGTAGTGTATAGTAGTGTATAGTGTAGTGTATAGTAGTATGTAGTATAGTGTGTAGTGTAGTGTATAGTAGTGTATAGTGTAGTGTATAGTGTAGTGTATAGTGTGTAGTGTAGTGTATAGTGTAGTGTATAGTGTAGTGTAGTGTATAGTGTAGTGTATAGTGTTGTGTATAGTAGTATGTAGTGTAGTGTATAGTGTAGTGTATAGTAGTGTATAGTGTAGTGTATAGTAGTGCATAGTGTAGTGTATAGTGTAGTGTATAGTGTAGTGTATAGTGTAGTGTAGTAGTGTATAGTAGTGTATAGTGTAGTGTATAGTAGTGTATAGCGTAGTGTATAGTGTAGTGTATAGTATAGTGTATAGTGTAGTGTATAGTTGTGTAGTGTATAGTGTAGTGTATAGTAGTGTAGTGTATAGTGTAGTGTATAGTGTACTGTATAGTGTATAGTAGTGTATAGTAGTGTATAGTAGTGTAGTGTATAGTAGTGTATAGCGTAGTGTATAGTGTAGTGTATAGTGTAGTGTATAGTGTAGTGTGTAGTGTAGTGTATAGTAATGTAGTGTATAGTAGTGTATAGTAGTGTAGTGTATAGTGTAGTGTATAGTAGTGTAGTGTATAGTAGTGTAGTGTATAGTAGTGTAGTGTATAGTGTATAGTGTAGTGTATAGTGTAGTGTATAGTGCAGTGTGTAGTGTAGTGTATAGTAGTGTATAGTGTAGTGTATAGTGGTGTATAGTAGTGTAGTGGATAGTGTAGTGTATAGTGGTGTATAGTAGTGTAGTGTATAGTGTAGTGTATAGTAGTGTAGTGTATAGTGTAGTGTATAATAGTGTAGTGTATAGTAGTGTAGTGTATAGTGTAGTGTATAGTGTAGTGTATAGTGTAGTGTATAGTAGTGTAGTGTATAGTGTAGTGTATAGTAGTGTATAGTGTAGTGTATAGTGTAGTGTATAGTGTATAGTATAGTGTATAGTGCAGTGTATAGTAGTGTATAGTGTAGTGTATAGTAGTGTAGAGTGTAGTATACAATGTAGTGTATAGTGTAGTGTATAGTGTAGTGTATAGTAGTGTAGTGTATAGTGTAGTGTATAGTAGTGTATAGTGTAGTATATAGTGAAGTGTATAGTAGTGTATAGTGTAGTGTATAGCGTAGTGTAGTGTATAGTGTAGTGTATAGTGTAGTGTATAGTGTAGTGTATAGTGTAGTGTATAGTGCAGTGTATAGTAGTGTATAGTGTAGTGTATAGTAGTGTATAGTGTAGTGTATAGTGTAGTGTATAGTGTAGTGTATAGTGTAGTGTGTAGTGTAGTGTATAGTAGTGTAGTGTATAGTGTAGTGTATAATGTAGTGTGTAGTGTATAGTAGTGTAGTGTATAGTGTAGTGTATAGTGTAGTGTAGTGTATAGTGTAGTGTACAGTGTAGTGGTTCTTAACCTTTACTGCCGCCTTGCACCCCTTTGGTACTCAATCGTAAAAAATAAAGTATAATGTCAATAACTACATCGAAGGGTTGATGAAACAAAGTGAGTTGTTACGTTACCCGTGCTTAGTTTCTGTTTTCGATGACTTCGCTTTAAAAAAAAAAAATATCTGGCCACGTCTCGTACACCCCAAAGAAAGGGCATCACGCACCCCCAAGGGGGTGGTGCGTGCACCGCCAGGTCAAGAACCAATGCGTTATAAGGTCGCACTCATCACACACAAAGCGCTTGCACATAAATGAACCACAATAGTGGCCTCGCTGACTTAGTTAAGGATCGTGAACCATCATCACGCGAGCTTCCGTCACCCTCGCAGCAGCAGCAGCAGCGGCGGCTTTTGGCTGAGCCGTCGAACAAAGACGGCGGCGGTCACCGCATCGTCGCGCGGCGCTTTCAGACGCGCTTCTGCGGCCGTCTGGAACGCTCTCTTCCTTCCGATATTAAGAAGCCACTAGGCGCTACGCACTTTTAAAGCGTCGAGATTGAAAACTAAATTTCTTTCGAAGTCTTGTGTTTAGTTTGCTGTCCTTCCCCCCCCCGCACCTCCGATTAGCACGGTTGGCTACGTACGGCGCGAAAGAAGCTCAACATATACGCATACATAGTGAAGTCAACCAAATTGGCACGTTCTGTTCCACGTGGCGAACCATTGCTAATTGACTCTGTCGGCTGCAGGAGGGTGTACCACACGGTTTTTCTCTAAACATTTAGAAATATGCGTTTAGGTTATTTCCATTATTTTTCCGCGATACATTTCCATGTGATAAGCCACTTTTGTTGAGCTATCATTTGTGATAGGTCGCTTCTGAAAAATAAGTTAATAGCTCAGTGGGCTTTACCTGGTAAGATTTTAAAAAAGTAATTGTTTAGTTTTATTTGTATATTTCTTGTAAGCGATTTGTTTACCTTTCCTATACTTTGGACTCCAGTCGTGTGTTTATACTGTTTGTTGTTGTAACGTTCTTACCCTGTGTGCCCCTACTAGACATCTGTGAGTAAAGAGCTTTATAGCTCATCGGATTCCTCCTGCAGCATACATAAATATTCCGATTCTTCATTTACATTTACGCGATCTAACGCAGCAGCAGCAACAATAACACTTCATCACAAATACCGTATTTTCCCGCATATAACCCGCGGGGTATACCACTTTTTACAAACAAAACAAGACCCTGCGGGGTATATGGAGGTGCGGGCTATCCCAAAAATATTTTACACCTGTGACATGTCATAACTCGTTTAATTTTTTCATGGTAGGACTATCCACTATGCAACACTTATCTTTGACTAAAGCACTGCTGAATAAACCACTCACACTAAAATTGCACATGTTATCACGTTTTAAATGATTCGAATTGTTTGTACAATGAAACGACAAGACTAGTGTTTGAAGTGGGCGCACTTTGTTTACCGGCGACGGGAGAGCTGGG